TTTACATCCTATACCCAACAACCAAGTGGATGATACTTGGGTAAATATACCCCTCAGGTTTGCATACACTCCAGTAAGTGGTACCAGAAGTCCTGGAGTTTCGGAAACAAAGCAGGCTTTATTTGCAATGGGATGTTGGAAGAATGGGTCTGTTGGACTTCTCTGGGACAGTTGGGGGTGTCAGATGATGGAGGAGTCCAGGACTTAGCCTGCGAACAGATTGTTAAGGAGACAGTTAAAAAGAAAATCTCACCCCAACTAAAGCCAATGGCCACTCAAGGCCCTAGTTTATACAATGAACTCAGGGGCAAAATAGGGAGAGGGTTAGAGCTCCCAGCGATAGGAAAGAATCTCTTCATAGACCTGGCAGAGAAAAACTGCCAGAGAACTAAATGTCTCAAATTCTTGGATATGCAGAGGTGCCTTCATGAGTAAGGAGCAGCCTTGGAAAGGGTCTAGTTTAAATACTTACCAACTTCAATATGGAATCACTCTATAACTACCAGGGAGAGTGACCATCCCCAATCCTGGATTCTCACATCAGAAGTGATCAGGGAGGAATGTCTCAAAAGAACTGGGACCACATATGATAAATGGAAAAGACCCCTTGTAAAAGAGTACTCTCTTACAATGAGACAAATCTAACCTGGCAACCCTAAAAGCATACCTGGTACTGGGCATCATCCCCACCCAATAATGGCTCCCAATGCCACAAATCTCTAACCAACCACAGCCTCTTAAATGGCTCTACTACTAACAAGGCAAATCTATTTCGAGGTATCCCTGAGACTGGCAAATATTAGGATAACCTCACTAGCACTGCCCCAGGGTGGTGGAAAATACCAGATGGGTTATTCTGGATATGTGGAAACTGGGGCTACTCCAGACTCCCTCCCACTTGGACAGGAAGTTGTACTACAGGGATTGTCCTGCCCAGGTTTTTCCTTTTACCCAACTTACAAGAAGAACAACGGGGAGTCACTCTCTTTGAAACCCCGGGAACCAGAACAAAGAGAAGTCTTAGCATAGGAAGAAATCAGAGGTGGGGAGAAGACAAATGGTCTCCCTAGAGGACAATTGAGATCTATGGGCCAGCCACTTGGGCAAAAGATGGGAGTTGGGGTTACTGGACTCCCATTTACATGCTCAATTGAATCATTAGGTTACAAGTGGTGGTAGAAATTATCACTAACCAGACTGCTTCTGACTTAGAATTACTGGCCAAAGACCCAAATGTATGCCGTTATGTATCAAAACCCCTGGCCTTAGACTGTCTTCTTGGCTGGGGGCAAAGGGGTGTATGTGGCAAATTCAACTATTTAGACCGTTGCCTTCAAATTGATAACAATGGACAAGCAGTAACAAACATTACCACTAACATCAGAAAAATTGCCTATGTCCTTGTACAAACATGGGATGGCTGGAAACAACAAATGGCTTTGTGGCTGGTTCTCAAGGCTTTTCCCCCTCCTGGGACCCATTGCTGTTACCAAAGCTGTCCTGTGCTTTGGTCCATGCCTCCTTAACTTTCTTGTGCATTTCATTTCTTCTCACCTAGACTCCATCAAACTCCAAATGTTACTTCACACCCATTCTTAGTACCGTGGACCTTTGGAAACCCCCTGGATTTGGATCTCTGAGTCCTGCCAGGGGCCCTTCTTTGCCCCCTCTCAGCAGGAAGTAGGTAAAGACTGGATCTCGACATCCCATCTCCCTAATGGCAGATAGAGGCTCCAACACATAGTGGGGATTGGTAGTAGTATTATAACATAAATCAGCCACATAACATCTTGGGAATATGGAAGCCCCCATGACCTAGGAGAATCCAAACATTTAATTTTTTTATTGTAACACAGTTTGGCCCCAATATAAGTGGGACAATGATAACCATTGTCCCAAGCAGTGCACTTTCCATTTCCCAATTCCACACAATCTCAAAACGTTCTAGTACTATAGGACATGGTCCAAGGTCTCCCAATATCTAGACCTCTGTTTATCTTCACTCTAGAATCCCTATCTGTTATCCTCCTAAACAAATATCCCCTGCCCAAGTTTCTCTGATATCCACTAAAAACCTCCTCTTCCTCTGACTTTGACCCTGCTCTATGTCATCCTTTCCTCCTCCCTCATCTCACAAGGTATCAAGAGTTTACCTTGAAAATCTTCTCTCGAAATCTGTCTCAGCCATGATGGGAGATTTATTTCACTCCTGCTACTCCACAGATTGCTTATGTCTCCTCTCCCAGACTGGCCATATGAATGAGGACAACAGGGACAGAAATGGATGAGGAGAAAGGGAAATAAAAGTGCTGCTCAAGTCACATTGTCAGTTAAAATACATGTGGCTGATTATTGGAACTGCTTTTCTGTCCCCACCTCCTGGTCTTCCACCTAAAACTAAACCTCTAAATCTGCCTCAACAGTTTTGTCCTTTAAGTCTTGCTTTTGAGATGGGCCACTTTCCCGTTGCGGATATGTCAAGACCAGGAGAAGGAACAGGTCATATCCAGGCTGCTGTGGGTGGTGACTTTGGGCTACCCATTCTCTCTACTGGTCAAGGCACCATGCAGTTGGGATTAAGGACCCATGCCCTCAGCCTCAGGTGCACACAGGCCAGAGGGACCAAAGACAGAATTCCAATTCTCTAAGCTTTTCTTTATTTCCAGCAAATGCCCCATGTATTTAAATTTAAATCAGTTTTCCATGTTATGGCATTAACTAAAAGGCAAAAGGGCAGCTTTCTTGATTTCTGCTATGTATACAATAAAGCATTTGGATTTTTTTTTTTTTTGGTAACTTGCCAAAAACTAACCCTTGAGAGGCTAATTCATTCTACCTTTTCCGTGCTTACTAAGATAGCCAGATATTACCAATTTCAATGGAGACATAATCCTTTTTACCACAACAGTCTGCCCCTTTCCCAGCCTGTCATACTAACTCTAACTTAAAAACAAATTTTTGGTATAAAATAAGAGCATGGACTCGTGCATCCCATATCCTTTGGATACAGGATACCAACTTCAGTAAAGGTTTGGCTAATAACAAAGCTACTGTAGCCCAAGGTAAACTATTAATAAATATTATTTAAAACACCCTGTAGAGGTAAATCTAAAACCTTCAATTTCTAAGAGTGCACTTGGAATTGATGTAATTGTTTTCTAGCCATTGTGTGAATTTTGTATGTCTACTGTATGACTAACTTATTAAAGACAAAAAAATCTGATAACTATGACGTCTTTTTTTAATTTTCATTTTATTCATATGTGCATAAAATGTTTGGGTCATTTCTTCTCCCTTCCTCCCGCCCCCTCCCTTACCCCCACCCCCGGCTCCCTCCCTTACCTCCCCTTACCCCTCACTACCCGGCAGAAACTATTTTGCCCTTATCTCTAATTTTGTTGAAGAGAGAGTATAAGCAATAATAGGAATGACCAAGAGTTTTGACTAGTTGAGATAATGTGAGTTGAGTTGACTCGCATTGATTTCCTGTGCATGTGTGTTACCTTCTAAGTTAATTCTTCTTGAACTAACCTTTTCTCTAGTTCCTGGTCCCCTTCTCCTATTGGCCTCAGTTGCTTTAAAGTATCTGCTTTAGTTTCTCTGCATTGAGGGCAACAAATGCTATCTAGTTTTTTAGGTGTATGACAACAGTCTTATTGAAGACTGAGACTGACTCAAAACACTTTCCTAGAATTGACTCTTGCTTCAGCTATTAAGATGCCCAAAATCTGTCCTAAAAGAACAGAATGGAACTCATCCCAGTGCTCCTAAAATTTTTTAAAATACCTGATCAACAAACTTGTGACCACTTAGTTATTTTCAACCTATTCTTGAGTTCTTGACTCTATGCATGCTTAAATTGACATTTATGGCATGCTTCACGTGGATTTTTTTTTTCCATGTGTGTCTTTGAACATCTTTAGGATGATTCTTCTAAAGTTTTATGTCTATCATGTCTAACTAAAATACAGGCATTACTTTATGGAAAGTAACCTTAATTGCTTAAATTTTTCATAAGTGTAATTTACATTCAATTCTTTCATAATTAGTTCTATTAACAAATGAGTCTTTCTCAGTTAGTTATTGTGTAGACACACAGTTTAGCATTGCCTTTTTTCATGGTTTTCTGAAAGATTTTTCAAGGATCATGTTGAACTAGAACCTAAATCTCTATGTCCAACAACAATAAGGCTATCTTAATATTGTTCTGCTTGGCGTGACATGTGTAAGAAACTATTGTAAGGGAAGATTTTATCAAAATAATTGTTCATGTTTTCTATTGATCTTGTCAAGCTTTTAAACACTTAAACTAAACCAAAACTAGAGTTCATTTATGTATCTGTTCATTTAAAAGTCTCTCAAATGACCACCTTAAAACTGTGTTCTATATCTAGACTTTAAGTATTGTACACTTAGAGTTAAAAATTGTCCATTTAATATATGTAAAATTATCAGCTAAAGCTTTCTTTTACTCAACAGGATTACACCTAAACCTTTGGCATATAAAGTGGTTAATGAAACTTTTGTCAGTTTTGCAGTCATGATCGGAACATTCAGAAAAACCCTGCCATTTAGGAAATCCTGCTATTAAAAACCTGACCTGTATTTGTTTTAGCCAAATGAGTGTTACAGTTTATATGAAATGTACTTGTGTATAAGATTTGGTATCACAGGCAATGTCTTAACTTGTAAGAGATCTAAAGTTAACGATGCTATACTTTCACAGGGTTGTGTCCATGTTCTCCTAATTGTAAAAAGGAGCTTTTAAGTGTTGCTGTTTTAATGCTGTCAGTCATAATTATTTTCCTAAAATGCCATCTGCAATAGAAATAGCCAAAAGTTCTGGCAATTCCTAAACTACTTTCAGTGTTTTAACCATGGCTATTCTAAGTCTTGTCATTCACAGTTTGGGTCCTTCTCTGGAGCATTTGCAATCAAATCCCAAAAATGACTCCACCAAGTACCTATGTTTCAAGTGAATCAGCCATTTAGATATTTGCTTTTTTTTTTTTTTTTTTTGCTTTTTGTATTATCCTTGTAAAACTCTTAACTGTTGCCTGTTGGACTTCTGCATTATTTCTAAGATGTCAAGATATCATCTATAGTGAAGACAAAACTAAAAATGGATGCCAGGTAAGCCCACTTCTTCTAAACTTCTTTTCTTGTTTATAATTTGGCCAAATGAGTCTTAATTGGCACTGATTTCCACCTGACCTGCCCAATGCTTCCACTCTGACATGAAAAACATCTGGAAAAAGCTATTCCTACAATGAAGGACTTTCATTAATATATAAGGGTTAATTGACAAAATCTTCAGAGGACACTCATCAGAGACAAATGGCATACAAGGAGTTTGCTTTTTCCATGGTGACATCTCTCCTTTTAAAAGCCAGTCTGAGATTCTGAGGGGTACTGATGAGGGAGCCAGAGGTCTTGGGGGTCAGAGGAGGATGGGTGGCAAGAGAGAGAAGGCCAGAAACCCAGCATCCTCAGAAACATCTTTCCCTGTTATTTCAGGTACTACAGATGCACCCACCTCTGCAACAGGCTAGGGTCTCCCACTGAGGTAGAATATCTTGCCAAGGACAATGAGGTAGAATAAACTTCTCATGTGCACCCAAGAACCAAAGAGATAGTTGAGTGTTATAACAAGGCCCTTCGCTCAAACCCCTTATGCTCTGGATCAAAAAGTGGATTAATCCTTTTGTAAGGTCAGGGCCCTGATGTCCCAATCATGTAACAAAAGCCCCACCTTTGACTCTGCTTTATGGAGGGCCAAGCCTTCAATGCATGAATATTTGGGAGCATTTACCATTCACCCATTAACATTGAATTCCTGACTTCAAAGGTTCAGGTCCATCTCACAACGTAAAATGCATTCAGTTCATCTGCAAGAGTTCCCATAGTCTTAACAGTTCCATAGTTCCTCAAAAGTCCATTTCCCTCTGAGACTCAAAGCAAATTCTTATCAGTGAAACCCCAGAAAATCAAAAGAAATTTACATATTTCAAGGTATAATGCATCAAGGGTAAACATTTTCATTCCAAAAGGGAGGAAATGGAGAAAGTAAGGTGAAATCAGACCAAAGCAAAACCAAAACCAAGCATACTAAACAATAAACCCTATACTTCAGGTCCGGCATCAGGGACACCTGGTGCTGTGAACTGAGCTCCAGAGAGCTCAGGCAGTCCTGCTCTGTGGAAAGCAGAGTATGAGAAGCCTGTGAGAACTTGACATAAGCACAGCTGTGTCAAATAATCTGCAGGCTGAGTTTGGCACGGCCCCAGCCATAGATGGGAGAGAGTGGAGTTGTGCCCAATAATCTTCAGGTTGAGTTTGGCACAGCCCCAGCTGCAGAAGGGAGTGAGCATAGTTATGCCCAAAAATCTGCAGGCTGTTTAGCATGGCCCCAGCCACAGAAGAGGGTGAGGGCAAAATGCAGCAGAGCTGTTCTTCCTAAGATGTTTACTTTCAGAATGAAGCAGTCTCAGGTTTCTCCTGTTCCCGAGAACTACAATGTCACACCCCTCCCCCCAAGAACTGTTGCCCCCAACTCCTTGTTTTTCCACTGTATATAATAAACTCGCTGGAGGTAGACGAGACTGCTGTGTGTCTCCATCTGAGCGTCCAGTCCACCTGGCACCAGCTTTGTGCATGTTTTGTCTTCTGTCTTTTGTCCATTCTTAATCTCCCATTGCCCCCAGTTAGGTTTTTAGGGCAAGCTTGCAGGGGTCATGAGAGGTGGCACCTGAACAGGGACCTAACTACAGAGGAACTTGAAGCCAGAGACAAGGAGACACTGTCTATGAAGTATACAACTAATGATGAGAAACAAGTGAGATGTAATAGAAAAGAAGTAAGGAGGAGAGAGTGAATTGAATACAGCCAGGTGTAAAAACATGGGATAGTGTAAGTCTAAGGAACAGGAGCTCTATATACATGCTTTAAAACCTATGCTAAAGATTAGAGGAAGCAGAGTCAGGTTGCTTCAGCTTATGCACTTTTTAGATTTCATACAAGAAACTTAACCATGGCTCCCTGAGGAGGGCACTTTAAATTTAGAAACATGGAACAAGGTAGAAGACAGGCTGAGGGCGTGGCATACGGCTGAGGGGCGGGAAGCTATGCCCATTTTAACTTTTCATTTGTGGTCTATGATTAGAGATTGTTTGGGGCCTACTCCCTCACATAAACAAAGATTTTCCTACTCAGTATTCAAGCTGGAATGTCGGATTCACCCCTTATAACCAATCATCCAGGAATGTAAGAGGCAGTATCCCTTGAGGAAACAAAATACTGCAGGCAGCGGAGCTGCTGAACCATCAGTCCCACCTTATGAGGTCAAGTTTTCACATAAAATTAAAATTCAGTCCAAACAGATTCTGATTCTGATTCAGTGTCATATGAGGAGGGTCATTAGGACACTCTGGCCCATAAAGTACTGGGAACCATGAATATGGGGTTACCTCCATGGGCCAGGAGACTTCCACTCTAGCTAAAAGTCCCCTGCAGGCTGCCTTGCAGGCAGCTCATAGTCAAGGAGAAGATGCAGCTGGATTTAGGTTTTACCCTGTGCTTCAGAGACTAGACCCTAAAAACCCTGGCATGCAACAGAGATTTCATCAAAAGATCCCATTTAAAACTTTAAAGGAGTTGAAACAAGCCTGTACAATATACGGCTCTACAGCTACATTGACACTGGGGCTATTACAAAATTTGATAGGAGATACTGCTATGCCTCCAGATGACTGGACAGGGCTGGTTAAAACATACCTCTCTCCAGGTGATTCCTTGCTGTGGAAAACAGATTTTATAGTTATGTAAGGAGCAGGCAAACCATAATTTGGCCCATGGAAGTCATATCACTGCAGATATGCTCATGGGAAGATGACCTTTTGAGGTGTAGATAATCAAATACAGTAACCCCTCAAGCTTATCAGCAGATTGCCATTGCAGGCACAAGGGCATGGCGAGAACTACCAAGGAAAGGAGAAAAGACTTTGGAATTAACTACCATTCTCCAAGGTCCCAATGAGCCATATGGAGAGTTTGTGGCATGCCTGCTGCAAAACGTAGGCAGGATAGTGGAGGATGCCAAAGCTGGAAACATACTGGTAATACAACTGGCTTCCAAAAAGGCTAACAAGGCCTGTAAGACAGCCCTTCAGCCATACAGAAAAACAGCTACTCTATAGGAAATGATTAGAATTTGTGCAGATGTCGGGCCAAGTCACATCCAGTGCATACTTTACCTTCTGCCTTAAAGGAAATGTTGCACCCTGGGGGAAGAAAAAAAGGAGCATGTTTTTTCTGTGGAAAAGAGGGACATTTTGCTAGGGAGTGTGGGAATAAGCCCTGACTACAGCTAGGTACCTTGGGACACATTGCCAGGCCACCAACTGGTGCCAATGGGCCAAGGGCTCGAACAACCGGGATATGTCCTTGGTGTGGGAGGGGAAAACACTGGGCAAAAGAATGTCACTCCAAAACAGATATAGATAGGTAACCTCTTATAGACAGGGAAAATTCACACAGGGCCTGCCCCAGCCCTGTAAAACAGTGGAGGCGATTACTATGAATGTTCCCACCCAATACCCACCATTGAAAACCTCGTTTGCACCACCCCAGGAAGCGCAGGATTGGACCTCAGTTCCACCTCCTGATATGTGATAATGCCTGATTTGGGAGTGCAAGTTATCCCTACGGGGGTCTATGGCCCTCTGCCCCAGGGCACAGTGGGTTTAATATTAGGGAAAAGTAGTGCAACCATAAGGGGATTACAGGTTTATTATCCAGGTGTGATTGATGAAGACTGTACTGCGGAAATTAAGATAATGGCCCAGGCACCAGATGCCTTTGTACCAGTATTCCGAGAGAATAAAATAGCTCAGCTGCTTATTCTCCCAAATGTGAAGAAAGGCAAGGTGTTAGCTCATACCCTGTGGAGAGATAGAGGATTCGGCTCCTCTGATCATCCAGACTGGGTACCTCAAGTAACAGAAGATAATCTGGAAGTGACTTTGTACTTAAATGACAGATGATTTGGGGGATTTTTGGATACTGGTGCTGATATCTCTGTAATTGCTGCTAGACATTGGCCAGAAAGTTGGTCTTGCCAACCCTCTGTTGCTGATCTGCAGGGGGTAGGGGCTGCTCATGGCCCACTCCAGAGTGCTCAACAGCTCTGATGGAGGAATGAAGAGGGATACTCAGGGCTTTCTACTCCTTTGTCTTAGACAATCTTCTGATCAATCTGTGGGGAAGAAATGCATTAGAGAGTATGGGAACTATAGTCTGCAGTCTTATTAGCGCGGTCTCTCACTAAATGTTTCAACAAGGCTATAATCCCATTAGGGGATTGGGAAAATATAAACAAGGTAGGTTACATACTGTACAGCCTTTAGGGAATCTAGGAAGGATGGGGCTAGGATACCAGGCCACGCAGCATTTTCAGTAGGGGCCCTCCAGGTCCAACAAATTAAACACTTAGATCACTGGGCTCTCAACAGATCCAGTCTGGGTGGACCAGTGGCCTTTGACAGGGGAAAAATTGCCTACAGCCACAGTTCTGGTGAAGGAACAATTAAAAGCAGGGCATATTGAGCCTACCTATAGCCCTTTCTAATCCAATTTTTGTGATTAGAAAAAAGTTGGGAAGATGGAAGTTCTTACAAGATTTAGGGGCTGTCAACAGAGGGAGCACTCCAGCCTGGCCTTCCTTCACCCACAACTATTCCATTAGAGTATTATCTTTGCATTCTTGATCATAAAGATGTTTTCTTTTCTTTTCTTTCTTTCCTTTTTTTTTTAACCATTCCTCTCCATTCAAAAGACAGAGAAAAAATTGCTTTCATTTTATCATCATCAAATCATCAGGCCCTGGATGTTGATTTCATTGGACAGTGCTGCCCCAAGGCATGGTTAACAGTCCCAATATGGGTCAGGAATTTGTTGCTGTACCAATAGAACCTACATGCCATAAGTATCCAGAAGCTTCATTACATGGATGTAATTCTGATAAGTCATCCCAGTGAGTCTACACTTCTACTAATCTTGACAGATCTTACAAAGATGTTGAGGCCTAGTGATTGTGCATTGTCCCAGACAGGTACAAAAAATGCCTGCTTTTCAATATTTAGGGCAAGTTATCAATGGACATTTAACCATCCTCAAAACATAGAGATCAGGAAGCATAATTTTAAAACTTTAAATGATTTACAAAAATTGCTAGGATATAGCAATTGGCTCAGATGCTCTCTAAAACTTACCACTGACATCTTATCTCCTCTTTTTCAACTGCTCAACCTAATCCTTCCTCACTTCAAGAACTTATAGAGGACGCCCAACAGGCATTGGTTAAGGTAGAGAGAGCAATTACAAAGCCAAGCTTCAGCACTAGGATCCACAGCAGCCTGTTCAATTACTCTCTGGCAATTGCAGGGGGTGTTGGAATGGTTACACTTAAGTCACTCTCCTACTAAGGTGCTTACACTGTATCATGAGCTGTAGCTAGGCTGATTGTTCTGGGACACACTCATTTTGTGAATTGCTGGGGCATGAGCCCAGTAATATTGTTTTCACATTTTCAAAAGATCAACAGCATTGGATATGGCAATTCTCAGACTTATGAGTCTGCACTGGCTAATTTTCCAGGACAGGTGGGGGAACATCTCCCACATTCAAAACTTACATTTTGCTTCCCTTCACGTTTGTCTTTCCAAAAATTATACTATCCTCCCCTCACCGAGGCTGTCACAATCTTCACTGTGCTTCTGGACGTGGTACTGCTCTTACTACACCAAAGATTGCCCTAAGTTTAAACATACTGTTTTGGCCTCTGCTCAAAGGGCAGACCTTGATGATGTTCATGGACCTCAGGGACTTTCCACAACAACCTATCAATCTACACAGTAATAGTCACTATGTGGTAGGTGTTTTACACCACATTGAAACTGCTTATGTTGGCCATACTAGTAATGAAGTGTTATTTAATCTTTTCTTTCAGTTGCATATTCTGGTACAAAATGTGAGCCATTTGTGCTCACATTCTAATCTCCCTGGGTCACTTGCTGATGGTAATGCCTGGGCAGATAACCTAGTCTCTGGGCTTGCTTTGGGCTTGCCCATGCAAATTTTTGCACCCATAGAAGCTGCCCAACTCAGTCATCCTTTGTACCAACAAAATGCTTCAGCCCTGTGTAGGCAATTTCACCTTACCAAGGAACAGGCTCAACAAATCATTACATCAAGTCAGCAGTGTGTCACATGTTTACCACAAGCATATAAAGGGGTTAACCCACGGGGCCTTTGGCCTGTAATCTTGTGGCAGATGGGTGTCATTCACGTTTCCTCCTTTGACTGGCAGTACTATGTTCATGTGTCAGTGGACATTTATTCAGGTTATATCTATGCCTTCGTGCATGCTGGTGAGGCCACTAAACATGTCATCACTCATTGTTTGGCTGTCTTTGCTGCCATGGGTAAGCCTCAACAGCTCAAGATCAACAATGGCCCTGAATACAATTCAACTGCTTTTCAGCAGTTCTGTGAGGCCTATCAGATACATCACACCACCAAAGTTCCTTGTAATCCTCAAGGGCAGTCCATAGTGGAATGTACACATGCCACCCTCAAAATGCTATTTAAAAAGTTAAAATGGGGAGATGAGGTAATTCCCCTAGCTAGCCAATTGCATAAAGCTTTTTATGCCCTTAATTTTTTTGAACTGCCCAGAACAGGGTTTAACACCCACTGAAAGGCATTGGCAACCACAGGAGCTGACTGGCAGGCCTCAGGTTCTTTGGGAAAATGTGTTGACTGGCAAATGGCACAGTACTAGTCCTGTTCTGATGTGGGGACAAGGGCATGCTTGTGTTTTCTCCAGAAGATGCAGAACACCCAGTGTGGGTACCATCGTGATTTGTGAAGCCTCTGGACCCCCTGGCCCCAAAGATGAGGAGGCTGTGACTGGAAGACTCTCCCCAGGAAAGGGAACCACTGAGGCTGACTCCTCTGCCAACCAGAGGGCAGCCAAGGAAATGACCATCAGCAAGATAGACGCGGAACAGTGAGCCACCCACCTGGGGTCAAATGAAGAAACTAAAGGACATGACGATGACAACAGTAACCAGTAACCTGGGGATGGCTGGGAATCCCACAGCAATATCACTGGTGGCATTGGTCATAATTACAATACAGGTGGGTGTAGTCCAGGGCAATGCATACTGGACTTTCATTCTCCACCTGCCAATGGTGCATCCTATCACTTTAGAGCAACTCTGTATCTATTTTTACTGATATAGTGCACATGGGAGGTCATTCCTCAGGACATTTGGTGTCTCAATATAGTGACTATAACTTTACAGGTAAAGCTCATCTTATGGGTGCATGGGAACAAAGCAAACAATACTGTAGACATAAGGCAATTAAGGCAACAAATATTGGCCATGCAAAAGGCTTATGATAATGTTTCTCCAGCTAATATGCAAATACTATCCTTGGTGAATTCAAGGATTTTAATCCATTAAACATGCTAGAGCACTCCTTCTGGTGTTTGGCAGGAATATATGTTATTGTTCGCCTGCTTTCTTGTTCCTTCAGTCAGATGCCACATGTACAAAGACAACTGCTTGGAATGGGGGATGGGCTTCATCAGGAATATTTTAAGTAATAAAAAAGGTGGAGATGTGGAAAGCAGAGTATGAGAGGCCTATGACAACTTGATGTAAAAGCACAGCTTTGTCAAATAACCTGCAGGCTGAGTTTGGCATGGCCCGCAGAGGAGGGTGAGGGCAAAATGCAGCACAGCTGTTTTTCCTAAGATGTTTACATTCAGAGGGAAGCGGTCACAGGTTTCTCCTGTTCCCAAGAACTATAATGTCCCACACTTCCCCACCCCAAAACTGCTGCCTCACCTCCTGTTTTGCCATGTATATAATAAACTCACTGGAGGTGGATGAGGCTGTTGTGTCTCCATCTGAGCACCTAGTCCACCTGGCCCCAGCTTTGTGCATGTTTTGTCTTCTGTCTTTTGTCCTTTCTTAACCTCCTGTCACCCCCAGTTAGGTTTCTAGGACATGCTCACATGAGTTGTGAGACTGTCCCTTGACAGGTGCAACCAACATGACTGCTCTTGGGCTGGCTGTGCTCACTGCAGCTGTCCTTCCCTCTGTATATCATCTACCATCCTGGCAACTGACCTCCAGTAGTCTCCATGAAAGCTTGGGTTCACGCTCACAGCTTCACAAGTTGACCTCTCAACAGCTGCTTGCAGAGGTTATAGCCCTTCTGTATACTGCTTGACCTCCCAAGCTTTCCTTTGACATCTCCAAGAAAGCCTGTATGTCCCATATTTTTAGCATTCTGTGGACCTAAAAACAAACATCCTGTGGAGGATGCCAAAGTCAGTCACCTAATTGTACTGTACAGCCTGAGCCCGCTTGAACCTTACCTTCAGCAGCCTCTGAGTGCCTAGATGGCTGACCATGGGGAAATGAATTCCAGGAAGACAATTCCCCCAGGAGGCCTAGGAAAGCAGAGAACCTCAGGACTCTTCTCACTCAAGTCTCTGAAAGAGTTCGGTGACTATGGCTCACACCTGCAACCTTAGCTACTTGGGAGACTGAAATAAGGTGGATCATGGTTTGAGGGCATCAGGGAAAACACTTCTCAAGACCCCATTTCCAAAATGACCAAAGGAAAATTAACTGTAGATGTAACTCAAGTCATAAAGCTTTAGGTGTAGGGCATCTAGGTTGTTTCCATAGCTTGGCTATTGTGAATAGTGCTGCAATGAACATTAGTGTACAGGTGTCCCTATTGTATCCTGACTTACCTTCCATTGGGTAGATGTCCAGCAGTGGTGTCATTGGATCATACGGCAGTTCTAGCTTTAGCTTTCTGAGGAATCTCCATGAGGCTTGCCACAATGGTTGTACTAATTTGCATTCCCACCTATACTACATAAGAGTTCCTGTTCTGACTCATCATCACCAGCATTTGTTGTTGATATTGCCCTTGACTGTGGCCATTTTAAGTGGGGTAAGATGAAATCTAAGTGTTGTGTTGATTTACATCTCTTTTATAACCAGAGAAATTGAACACTTCATGTATTGGCCATTTGTATCTCTTCCTTTAAGAGTTCCTTATTTAATTCATGAGCTCATGTCTTCATTGGGGTGTTGATTCATTGGGGGTTGAATTTATTGAGTGCCCTGTAGATTCTGGAATTTAGTTGCTAATGGGACTAGTAGCTGGCAAAAATCTTCTCCCATCCTGTGCACTGTCTCTTGAGTCTAGTAACTTTCTTTTGCTGTGCAAAAGCTCTTTATTTTGATGCAGTACCATTCATTCATTCTTTCTCTCAGATGCTGAGCCTTTTGAGTTCTAGTTAGGAAGTTGTTCCCTATACCTATATGTTCCCGTGTATTTCCTAGTATTTCCTGGAGTAGTTTCAAATTTCCAGGCCCTATATTAAGGTCATTGATCCACTTTAAATTGATTTCGGTACAGGGTGAAAAAAATGGATCTAGTTTCAGTCTTCTACATGTGGATATCTACTTTTCCCAGCAGTATCTGTTGAAGAGGGTGCCTTTTCTACATCGTGTGTTTGGGCTCCTTTGTTGAAGATAGGTGGCTGTAAGGTGAGTGGGTTTGTGTCTGGGTCTTCTATTCTGATCCATTGGTCTTCCTGTCAGTGTTTCCGTCAATACCATGCTATTTTTATTATTATGGCTCTGCAGTACAGTTTGAAGTCGGGTATTTTGATGACTCCAGCATTGGATTTTGCTCAGAATTGTTTTGGCTATTTGAGTTCCTTTGTGTTTCCATGTATATCAGGATTGAATTTTCTAATTCTTGCAGAATATCATTTGATTTTTGATAGGGATTACATTGAACACATAGATTGCTTCTGGTAGGTATGGCCATTTTCCCAATGCTGATTCTACTTATCCATGAGCATGGGAGATCTTTCCATCTTCTGATGTCTTCTTCAATTTCTCTCTTCAGTACTTATAGTTTTCATTAAAAAGGAGTTTGGTTCTTTAGTTTCCCTCATTAAATTTATTCCAAGCTCCTTTATTGTTTTAGAGGCTATTCTATATAGGATTGTTTCCCTGATTTCTTTCCCAGTCTGTTTGTTGTTGGTATATACAAAAGCTACTGAATTCTGTACATTGATTTTGTATCCTGCTACTTTGCCCAAAGAGTTTATGATTTCTAATAACTTTGGGATGGAGTTTTTAGGGCGTTTTATGTATAAAATCATGTCATCTGAAAATAGGGATAGTTTAATGTCTTCATTCTCTATTTGAATCCCTTTTATTTCTTGCTCTTGTCTTATTGCTCTGGCTAGGAATTTCAGAACTATATTGAATAGAAGGATCAAATGACCTTCCTGGAGTTTGTCTGTGTGTATCTTTTATTTTGGAATCTGAGTTTTTCATTAGACTGGCCAAATTTTTCAAATGCCAGGGTGAATGAGATAATCAATTGAACCGATGTACAGGTTTTCTTTTAATTTCCCGGGAGGATCTCAAAGTCCTTCCACAGTACCATCAGACATCTGCTCAGGCTTTGGTCAATGCATTTTGATCACTCATCTCATCAAAGGACTGATTTCATCACAGCTAGTCAATTTACCCACAAACGTCAATAACTATCCATCTGTAGAAAGCAGGAGGTGTAGCTGGCATCGTGGAACAGAGGCCTAATAGTCCGAGAAGGCTTTTGATCTGGGTTTTTTACTGTTGGAGACAGTAATGCTAAGGTCTTGTAGGACTCATTTCCTCAGGCTGACTCCTGATACAGAGATTAAATGCATGCCATACCATTAGGCTCTAAGGTCCAACAGAGTAGAATGGATCACCTGAGTCTCCTGTCATCTGCAGCACATGTGTAAGTGTTCACAGAATATTCTTTCCATTTTAATCAGGCATTTATTTTTCCATATTCAGTCTCAATTTTTTAAGGTTTGTTTAAGTCTTTTATCTTAAATACCTATACTCTTTTATGGTCCTAAACAGAATCATATTTACCTCTCAAATTACAGTTAGGAGTGGGTCCAATTCGAGGGGAGGAAATAATTTTTTTAAGGTGTGAAGTCAGTCTACCCAAGTGATCAATTTCTGTAACTGAGATTTTTATTTTATGCATACTAGGTGTTACTTTTGGGTTTTTCATCCATGTGTCAGGATTAATTACGGTCATTAATAGAGTTAACTGAACTTATCACAACTCATTGTGCTTTTGTTCTTCCCAACAGAAAAGGAGGTTGGTCCTTTGGTTCAGATGGAGTACGTCCAAGTCGGGGTGGACAACAAGGTCATTGTTACATTTCAGGCCGGAAGGCAATGTTCATCACTTGTATCTGAATCTCCACACAGAGCTGTGAACTGTTGTCCAGCGGAAGTGGAGGCAGAGAAACACAAGTGACTTTTGGAGGACACATAGTCTCTGCCATAGAGGATTTTCCCACCATGTAAATTCTGATGTTTCCTGAGGTTTGATTTCTGAGAAAGCTCTTCTACCTTCAAAGACTCCTCTCTTGTGAGTGGTCTGATGCTTGCTGAGGAGTGACTTCTGGCCAAAGGTTTTTCCACATTGATTGCAGATAGGGGTTATCACCAGTATGAATCATCTCATGCATAGTAAGGTATGACTTCCATGCAAAGATTTTATCACACTGACATACAGGGCTTCTTCCCAGTGTGAATCATCTTATGCCTAGTGAGTTGAGACTTTGAGACAAAGGTTTTATGACACTGGTTGCACTTATAAGGCTTCTCCCCGGTGTGAATTCTCACATGCATCCTGAGAAATGACTTCCAGATAAAAGTTTTTCCACAATGATTACATTGATGGGGCTTATCCCAGAGTGCATTTTCTCATGCTGGGTGAGGTGTGACTTCCAGCTAAAGGTTTTTCCACACTGACTACAATGATAGCAGTTTTTCCCAGTGTGACTCCTCTCATGTATAGTGAGCCCTGCCTTCTGGCTAAAAGATTTTCCACAATGAGTACACTCATAAGGCTTCTCCCCAGTGTGAAATATCCCATGAATAATGAGATATGACTTCCGTGCAAAGGTTTTACCACACTGACTACACTTATAGGGCTTCTTGCCAGTGTGAACGCTCTCATGATGGGTGAGGCATGACTTAAAGCCAAATGTTTTTCCACACTGACTACATTGATAGGACTTCTCCCCAATGTGAATGCTCTCATGATGGCTGAGGTGTGACTTCAAGCTACAGGATTTTGCACATTGCTTACATTGACAGGGCTTCTCCCCAGTGTGAATTCTTTCATGTTGGGTGAGGTGTGACTTCAAGCCAAAGGATTTTCCACATTGATTACAATGATAAGGCTTGTCCCCTGTGTGAATTCTTTCATGCTTGGTGAGTTGTGACTTCCAACCAAAGGATTTTCCACATTGATTACACTGATATGGCTTCTCCCCAGAGTGACTGCTCTTGTGCTGGGTGAGGTGTGACTTACGGCCATAGGATTTTCCACATTGATTACACTGATAGGGCTTCTCCCCAGTGTGAATTTTCTCATGCATGCTGAGGTATGACTTCCAGCCAAAGGCTTTTCCACATTGATTACACTGATAGGGCTTCTCCCCAGTGTGAATTCTCTCATGCATGCTGAGGTATGACTTTAAGCCAAAGGACTTTCCACATTGATTACACTGATAGGGCTTCTCCCCAGTGTGAATTCTCTTGTGCTTGGTGAGTTGTGAGTTCTGACCAAAGGTTTTTCCACACTGATTACATGGATAGGGCTTCTCCCCAGTGTGAATTCTTTCATGCTGGGTGAGATGTGACTTCAAGCCAAAGGATTTTCCACATTTACTACACTGATAGGGCTTCTCCCCGGTGTGCATTATCTCATGTATAGCGAGGGTTGACTTCTGACGAAAGGATTTTCCACACCTAATACACTGATAGGGCTTCTCCCCAGTGTGAATCATCTCATGCTGGGTGAGTCTTGACTTCCAGACAAAGGATTTTCCACACTGATTACATTGATAGGGCTTTTCCCCAGTGTGAGTTATCTCATGCTTGGTGAGGTGTGATTTCCGGATAAAGAACTTTCTGTACTGTTTACACTGATAGGGTTTCTTATCTGCATGCATCCCCTCGGTCCAAGTAATGAGATGCGTGTTCTCACATAAATTCAACTCCTCAGGCGTCACTGCTAAAGAACCTGCATTCTTTACAATCAAATTTGAAATATGGTGTGAACTCAAATGAAAGGCATGTCCTAACATAACCCTCCCCTTAGTTGGTGTGTTGTTCATAGTGATTTCAGCTTGCCACAAATGTCTGTCTTGACTTTCCTCACTGGTTTCAATTATGACATCCACTCTCTGGACATCTAAAATGAGAAAAGAAGAAAATAACCACATCCATGAAAAATATCTAAGTATTTCTATGAAATGTGCACTTGTACATAATGGAGGTTCTACTCCTACTGGCATAATATTTCATAAAAATCACAACAGGTATTGGCTGGCAAGTAAGTCGTTTTCTTCCTACTGGCTTAATGTAATAAATCACACTGACAGATTTTTATATATTGAACTGTTTTTTCTTGCTTATTTAATTTTTATTCCATGCCATAGTATTTGAATAAAATATTCATCAGCAGCCTACTGATGGTATTCCATGGAGTGCTTCTCCCCTGCCATTTCTTTTCCCCATTCATTTCCTCTATTGTTTTGACATTGTTGGGGTCTCATGCTGCTCTTCTTCTAATTATTCTACTTTGGAGGGTGCAAGCATTTTCAGAATGAGCTACTTGCAGAATAGAATTGAGGAACAACTAACTGCCACTATGGTTCACTAGGCTAAGTCTGAGACTGTTCTCATTTTATTATCAACTCCCTAGGTAAACTGGTACATAAGTTGAAATAAATAATAATAAATGAATAATTAAAAGTTTAAGTCAATTTCCAAAACTGTACTTCCAGGAGTGATGTAGACCTCAACTTAGATCATCATTTTGACCTATTATGAATAAAATTTTGAAAACAGGAAGTGAAACTCAAGATCTGCCCACCATGAATGTAGCCCAGTGGAACACTACTTAACCAGCACACTAGAGGCCCTAGGTTCATTCCACAGCATAGCAAACTTAAACAAACAAACTCCACATAAGACAATCTTCTCTGACCAACCTTCCTAAATGATCACATCTCATGTTTCTTTTTTTCACTTTGATTAAATATTCCTCATGGTTCTTATTTGGCTATTTCAAATACATTAATTTTTCTCTCAGCAAACTGTAAATTCTATGAAAGAGACATTATTCTATTACTTTCTGCCATTAATACAACTATAAAATTCCCACTGCTTCAAAATCAGCTCCAATAGGTTTGCTAAAGCAAAATAATTTGCAAATAAATGTCAGACAATATAAATCCATGAGAAGCGAGGCATGGGGGCGGATACAATCACTGGAGAAGCAGAAGCAGGAAGATCGAGACTACAAGGCCAGCCAGGGTACATATCAGGAGTCTGTGTCAAAAAAAATTTACAAACCATGTGCCAGAGGTAAACACCTATAATTCTAGCTAAGTAGGTTTTGAGATTGGGAAGATATTGGTTCAAAGGCAGTCCCATGCAAATAGCTCACAGGACCCCACCTCCAATATAATGATAGTGAAATGGGCTGGAGGTGTGGCTCAAGTGGTATAGCACCTGCTTTGCAAGTGCCTGCCTGCTTTGCAAACTCAAAGCCATGAATTCAAATCCCAACCCCACAAAAAAAAATTTAAGTAATTTAAAAAATCCATGATGATGGAGGATGAGACAATTGAGAATACTGAGAAAGTAAAGAGCAAAGAAAAAGACCTAAGATTAGGGTTTAGATGAGGGATAAAAGGTAACAATATATGTGTGAGAGCCCTCCCTGCACTCTGTAATGCACAGGTTTGATGTGTAGAAGGCCAATGTCCTCAGGTCTGCAATCTGGAAGATAGTCTGATGAAATCAGCACAACACGGCCAGCATCTGCTTAGTTCCATTCTCATGGCATCCCCACCCAGTATGCAGTGACTGACCTGGTGGGCTTAGGTTTGGAGGTTCTTTGCCCATCCATGGCTCTGCTCCTTGCCCCAGCTTGAAGATCAGCTCAGGTTTGGTGATGCATTGCCCTGTACATGCCAAACAAGGTAAGGACATTGACAAATGATTAAGTGAGAATTTTTACCCTACCATCCTTTTCTACAAGGAAGGACATGTTCTGTCTGTGCTGCCATCAAAGGAGCTGCTAGTCACATTGCTTACCAAACACTTGAAGTAGGACAAGTCTCACTGAGGAGCTACATTTAAAATTTTATTTAATTTCTTTCTCATTTTTCTTTAAGTGATATATTAGCATATTATAGTTATACCAGGGATACACAGTAACATTTACAAAGTCCTTATAATATATATTAGTTAGATTTACCCCCTCTATCATTCTCCTTTATCCTCCTTCCCATTGTCAGAAAAGTTTCAATAGGTCTCACTGATCCATTTTTATATGTGAATACATAATACCTCCATGACTTTCACCCATTCCTAATGCCATACCAACCCCTGGACTTGTTCTATCTTCTTGTCCTTCATTTTTTTAAAAAATGACATTTTTGTTTATTTATGATGGTTATACAAGGAGTTTCATTATGACATTTCCATATAATATATATACATACACATATATATGTATGTATGCATTATGCCATGAATTGATTCATGCCCTCCATTATAAATCATGTTCTTTGAAGCAAGACAAACCCCAGCTTTGGAACTGTACAATGAAGGGGAGCTGTGTACTCTTCATGAGAGAGGGTGAGTAACTGAATTCTTCATGGGATGGAACTGTGCACCTAAATAGTTTTCATGTATTTACTAAGAAGACCACATTTGCTCCTAAGTAATACAGGGCAGTTTCACTCACCCAGGGACACCAGGCTGCTGTAGGTCTCCAGCATCACCTCCCTGTACAGGGTCCTCTGAGCATTGTCCAGGTCCCGCCACTCCTCCCAGGTAAAGTCCAAAGACACATCCTCAAACGACACCAACTCTTGGAATACCATCTTTGTTCTCAACTCACCAGCCCTAGAATATGGAAGTTCTGGCTTTTGTATGCAAGGGGATTCTCATACATATTTTGTAAACAATGCAGCTTCTTTTGTACTCCATAGGATAAAGGAAAGTTACAGAAATGTATTGCCATTGTAATAATTTGTTAAGTACTAAAATACTATAACAAAGTTTAGTTATACAACTAAAAACAATCCTTTTGTAGATATTAAAGTATGAGTAAAAACAGGCCTGGTGATACATGGCTGTAATCCCAGCAATGAAGAGGATGAGACAGGAGTAGTGGGAATTCAAGGACAACCTGGGCTACATAGGCAGTCAACTCTATTTTTAAAAAAATATGAATAAAATTGAAGCGGCTTATGATCTGATATGAAGACATTAAATACAAACAAAAACCCTCCATCTGATAGATGAATTCATTTACAGCTTCAATGTAAATGCAGCAAGGAAAGAGAACATACAATTCTATTTTGCAGATGAATCTGCACTTCACTGAGAAGCCTAGAATGTTTACCCCTTCCATTTGCTAAAAACATGTTCTTATGGCTGCAAGACAACTACAGATGTCCACTCACAACCACACAAACAACAATCACCACATTAATGGAACTCCGCAGAGTACTGTGTTGAGCTGAATGAACTGGACCATGATGAGAGATAAACACAATACTGAAGGCACTGATTATGCATTCCATATACATAAACAATCTCTAATAAGAAATTTAATGTGCTTGTTGTTTTCCAATGACTTATAAGGTAAAAGTATGTACAAAGGCATCATAATATTTCCTTCCTAACTCCAAAAGATGCTACAACAGATGTAAAACATGACGTCAGCTAAGAACAGGTGAACAAACTGAGCAGATCTACATTTCAACAGTCATCCCTGGGAGGAGAACTGGAAAGACTTAAGGGAGAGTTAAAGAGTAAAAAGCAGAGTGGAACATCAGGTCACAAAGAAGTAGGACTGCAGAACAGAGAATTAATCTTAAAAAGGTGAAAAAAGAAAAGGGCAGAAACAGAATTTGGTTAAGAATTTGATGAGTAAAGATAAAAATATATTTTATTTCCAGATAATCTGCATGATTGCTGCCACTGACATACTGGCACTGTTACATGAACTTTAGAAAATGAAAGAATACAACAGCAGGCTGGGTGCCTCTGGTTCATCCATATAATCCTAGTTATGTTGCAGGAAGAGATCAGTAGGATCCTAGTTCAAAGCCAGGATCATGACACCCTATTTTGAAAATACCCAACATACACACACACACACACACACACACACACAAACGCACACCACACACACACCACAAGAAAACAACAAAAAAACCCTTAAAAAAGAAAATACCAACATAAAAAAGAGGACTGGCAGAGTGGCTCAAATGGTAGACCACCTGCTTAGCAAGTGCATGGCCCTGAGTTCAATCCCCAGCACCACCAAAAATAAATAAATACTGATAATACAATGGCAGAAATGACACAGACTTGAATATATCACATTTGGAACATCTGAGACCACATGTATGGGATGGCCAACTGCCACTTACATACATGATTCCAGAGTTCAGAAGAGAGATGTACGTTAAAGACAAGAAAATTTGTTAAGTAACAGAATTTTAGTCCTGCCTAAAGTTATCAGAGTGAATGAAATGGATTGACTTCTAAGAAGGAAAGTAACAAGAAAAGAATATAAGAAAACTAATATTTCCTGATAGGGGACAAGAAATACACCACAAAGAAAGAATATTCAGAGTTTGTCACAAAAAAATTTTAAAAGCTCAATGTTAAGAACTCTGAGGCTTTCATGATGGTGTACGCTTATAATCCCAAGACTCAGGGAGCTGAGTCAGGAGGATCATGACTTTAAGGCCAGCCTGGGCTACATAAGGAGACCCTCTCTCAGGATCAAAAAAGGGAAAAGGAGCTTCACTTACACAATTAAGTATATTCATATTCTATGGCAACAAATTGTTCCAATGGTTCACACAGACATTGAGAAGGTTCTTTTTCAAATACCATACAGGGCCAGGCATGGAGATATATACCTGTAACCCAAGCACTCATGAGGTGGAGAATGGAGGATCCAGAGTTCAAGCCCAGTCTGAGCAATAAAGGGATGATAAGGCGAATATGACCTAAAGAGGAATTGTACCTCAAAAATAAGAAAATACAAGTACAATCCTGTTATCAGTTCTGCTTTGGTTAGTGTATGAAATGCCCTATAGGACCAGGTGTGAAAGGCTAGGACCCAGCCCATAAAGGGACAAGCAGATGACAGAATCTTTGAGACATGATGGAAGGCATGCTCTTGAGCAGATATTGAGACCTAGTCAATTCTTGTCTCTCTTTCATAACCTGGCTATGAGGTAAGCAGATTCCTCTTCCATGAGCTCCTGACATGATGTACTTTTGGGCCTTGCACAGGCCCAGAGGCAATGGGGCCAAGTGATGACACACTGAAAACGCCAAAGTCAACAGACAATATATATATTTCCCCCTTTAAGTTGATTGTATCTGGTATTTTGACATAATGATAGAAAGCTGATAAACACAGGAAGCCATCACTCCACCCCAAAATCAAATACAAAGCTGTAGAAACTGGAAAAAAAAAATTCTTCCTGGATCAAAGGGGAGTGGAGGAGAGAGCAGACACTGCAGCCAATCTGTGTCATTCTATTATAGTAGCCTTAATAGAAAAACACTGCTTGTCCTCCCCTATATCTTACCATATTACCAAATTATTATTTCCAACAGTTCCTTTGATTTGGCATGACAAGTCAGGCAATGAAGAAAATACTTCAAGGCATAGTAAAGAGCAAAAACCACAATTTGAAGGGGCAGAGGACCAGACATGGCATTATCACAGAGCAAATTCAAAACTCTGATTAAGGCACTAAACAAGCTAATGGATAAACTACACACAGCATGCAAGGACAGGTGGGCAAAAAAAACTCTAACTGTGTATTAGCTACAAGAATTTCATTTAAATACAAACATATATGATGGCTCACAAAAGTAATTCTAGCTACTCAGGAGGCAGAGATCAGGAGAATCAAGGTTCGAGGTCAGCCCAGGCAAATAGTTCTAGAGACCCTATTTCAAAAATACTCAATAGAAAACAGGATTGTCAGAGTGGCTCCAACGGTACAGTTCCTGACTAGCAAACATGAGGCCCTGAGTTCAACCCCAAAAAATAAATAAATACAAATGAATTAAAAGTAAATGGATGGAGACAGGGTGAATGTGAACAAAGTACACTACATGCACGTATATGTATGTAAATATCACAATGAAACACATTAGTGCAATTAATATATACTATTAAAATGTTAATTTAACAAAGTAAATGGAGAAAATACATCATGCTAACACTAATCAAAACAAATCTGGGACCTAGCTAATTTTTTGAGCACATGCCTGGAAAGTTACAAAGAAAAGGGGCATTAAGTGATAATACAGTGATCACTTCTGCACCATGCAACAACTCTGAACATGTATGCATCTATCAGCAGATTCTGCCACCATGTGAGAGCAACATTCTTAGAAGTGAAAAAAAAAAAAGATGAACCCACAAGCACAACTGGAGACTTCAATGATTCACTCCCAAAAATGGACAGAGCCACCAGGTATATGATCAGTAATGACATAGCTCAACTCAACAACAGTTGGGTTCCAGTGCATGTGACTGGTATCAACAGATCACTGCTACCAGCAACAGATTACACATTCTTGCCAAGTACATGTGGACAATCACCAGCAAAGGTCACCTTCTCAGCCATAAAATACACCTGAACAGATTTTTAAAAACTAGAAAGCACACAATGTCTACTTTCAGACCAGAGTGGAACAAAGTAAGAAAAAGATAACTGAAAAACTCCAAATATGTGGAGATTAAACAACATACTCACAGATAGTGAAAAAGAACTCAAGAGAAATTTTTAATTTTGAACTGAATGAAAATGAAAGCAAGATGCAGCAAAAACAGTGCTTAGAGGAGAACTGATGGCATGGAATGTGTATAACAGACAAAAACAAGGATCTAGAATCAATAACCTAAGTTGCAAGCTTAGGAAACTAGGGGGAAAGTAAAACTTAAATCCAGCAAAAGGAGAAAACAATAAAAAGAACTATGAGTCAAATCAGTTATACTGAAACAAGAAACTCAACAAAGAAAATCAATAATAGAATAAAGAAGTTCCTTAAAAGCATCAATAAAGAAGAAAAATAGAGGAGATGAACCAATTCAGGTTATAATACACATACACATGGAAATGACACAAGAATACTCCCATGTAGCTCTCCCCACACATTTTTTATGATAAGTTTTTTGAGATCAGGTCTCCTGAACTATTTCCCTGGGATGGCTTTTAACTTCAGTCCTCCTGATCTCTGTCTCCTGAGCAGCTGGGATTAGAGGTATGAGTCACCAGGTCAGGCCTATTAAATTTTTCTCTTTTTTCTTTTGGACATTTCAATTTCAAAAACAACCACTTGAAACAGTTTAACACTTCATATATATGTTCCAAGAAGAATGTTCTCAGAATATATACAATATCAATATACAAACTGACTTACGGGTGGAGGCATGGCTCAAGTGGTAGAGCACCTGCCTGGCAAGAATGAGGTCCTGAAGTTAAACCCCAGTACCAACAACAATGAAAAAAAAGTGTTAGCATACAAACAATAGGCAAACACATTTTTTCAAACAACGGAATAACTATCGGTGGTGGGAGAGACCTTGGATAAAAGAATAGTCATCCTTAAACATGTTATGAAAAGTAGCATTTCTGCCATGGACATGCAATCTGCAAAATTTCCAAAGTGAATAAATATTATAAAATTAAACTGACATTAAGATTTTTAAGAAACAGAACGCACAACTTCACTGTTCTAAAGATAAAGAACTTTTCTAAACATGCACTAAAGCAAACTCTATAGAACCACACCCTCAAATAAATGCTCTGCACCAGAGTGTGGAAGGGATCTCACATATGAGAACTAGCAAGAGA